GGAGGCCTGGCGAGGGAGGTCACCGTGAGGGTTGTGCAAGCTGTGGCCCCTGACCTTTGAGCCCTGGTTACRTGGCAAGAGCCAATGAACTTTGCTGATGGAACTGGGGGCGATCATGGGCAGACCCTGAGGTAGGAGGAGCAGCCAGGGTCCTACTGTGGGTGCAGTTGCCCAGAAGCAGAGGAGGAAGGCGCAAGAGCCAGAGAAGCAGCACGAGATGGCCAGCAGAGGTCTGCAGAGACAGAGGGACCCGAGCCTCTCCAGCTGGCCTCCAACATGAAGTCAGGGACCATCAGCCAAGAGTGGCTTCTAGGAACCGAGAGCTGACCTCAGCTGACCATCTGCAAGGACACGAGGACCTCGATCCTACAACTGCCACAGACYGAGTCCCTACCCAGAGTCCAGAGTCACGGAGCCATGGACACCTGGGTGTCAGCCAGCAAGACCCTGCCAGGCTCAGCACCGGGACTTCTGAGGAAAGGCCTTTCTCTGAGCTGCTGAGCGTGGGCTTTGCAGGTTGCGGCAGAACAGTACGGGACAGGGGGAGAAAGAGCAGACCGAGCGGCACGCACAGCCCGGTCCCGTCCTGCCGGAAATGCGTGTTCTCCTGTGCATGGGAACATGCCAGGGCCGTGTGGGCCGTCGCTGGGGTGCTCCTGGACAGGGGAGGCAAGAGGCAGGTGACATCTACTTCATGCAGTGACCTGGGTGTCAGGTTTACCATGAGGGTGACCAGTCTCACCATCTAAATGACAAGTCTAAGGACGCATCGGCTTCATTGGCTGTTGGTCTGTGAAGCTGGCTACGCACTGCAGAGGCACCCCGGCTGGAGAGGGAACTGGGGTGCCAGGTTCCCAGGCACACATGGGGGGCTCTCACCATGGAGGAGCTCCCCAAGAGGCGCCTCTAGTTGGCTCCTGCTGGGTTAAAAAAAGATGACCTGTTTGGCAGGTCATGGGTCTTCGGGGTGCAGTTACAGACCAGGGTTGGGCAGTCAGTGGCCGTGCCTGCTGCCGTCCAGCTGCGGCCCTCACTTTGTTCACTGGCCAGCAAAGACCCAGCTCTACGAGCCTCCTTCCACTGTGGTGCTCTGGAGAGAACCAGGGCTTCACATCCTCACAGTGCTGCACCACTGAGCCACACTGCCAGTCTCTGCTTGGTTTTCTGCTTCATTTTTGATGAGACCATAAGAAAGTCAAAACGAGAGGACAACCACTAGAGGGACTAGAGTCCATGTGCATAGAAACAAACTGGAGAATCCGGAGAAAAGCTGAGCTCCCTGGAGAAGCCACCCGAGTCCAGGCAGAGGGTGGGCCAGAGGCTTGGAGCACCGGAGGCAGGAGCGCAGACAGGTCCTGTGGTGTGGCCTGTGGACACGGCCTCCGGAGCAGGCCAGGCGCCCGCGGAGAGGCTGGGCAGGCTGCAGCAGCCTCCCACAGAGCCTGGTACTGACAGTCGTCCAACTGGAACCACAGACTGGGGAGCCGCCACCCACAGGGGCCGGGAACCCAAGGAGGAAGCCTCCCCCGGGAGCATATGGCTCCCCTGAGCTGAAGCTGCACACGCAGGGCGCCACGCTCCACAGGCCGACCCTGGCCTGGCTGGACCTCCCCCAGGCGGGAGGGCGCTGCCCTCTGCTCCCCCGACCTCTCTGGCTCTGAGCGATCCTTTCCAGGTGTCCTCAGGCTGATTGACAATGACCCGACGCAGAGTCACCAGATGTGGGTCTCATTCATCACTCGGCGTGTGTGGAGCTCACGCAGGACGCGGGGCAGAGGGTGCAGTGTGGGGACACAGAAGGGGTGCAGACCCCTGGGAGAGCAGAGCCTGTGGCGGGCAAGCAGGAAAACAGGGGACCCAGATCAGGGGAGGCTGGGGAGGGAGGTGGTGATCCCGGGCTGCCGCTGGGGAAGAGCGAGGCTCACAGAGGCTGCATTCAGGTGCTGTGAGATGTTGGGGGAGGCTGGAGTGCAGACTGGAGCCTGGGGGACATGAGGGACGAAATGCCCAGTTGTCAGAAGTCACAGCGTGAAGAGCTGGCCTGGGCAGCAGGGCCCTCAGGCTGTGGCGGGGAGAGAGCAGGGTGGAGGTGGAGACGCCTATGTTTGGAGGCAGGTGGCTGCAGGTGCGTGGCGAGAGGCTCAGTGGTCGGCAGGAAGCCTGCAGAGCCTGGGTGGAGATGGAGACCCTGATGTGATGTCCACGTCRGCCACTCCCCAGGTCTCCAGGGCTCCCTCTGCTGCAGTCACCCAGTTCACAAAGACCCTCTGTCCTGCTTCTGGGGAAAGCCCTCCTGGTGCAGGGAGTGAGGCAGGTGCACGTGGGAAGGTCTGAGCTCCAGGGGTGCTCTCAGCAGCGTCACTTCTTACAGGCTGTGTCACCTCACCTGGCCCAGGGCCCAGGCAGGAGCAGCACTGGGAGTACCCATGCCTTCCTGTGGCTCCTCCAACCGAGGGAGGAGTCGGAGGCTGGAGGCTCCCCGTCCCTGGAGGGTGCCCACCCAGGACTCTGATTACCCTGCTCTCTGTGCGGTTCCCAGCCCTGCCATCTCCTTTCTGCAGAGCCCAGGAATTCTGGGGAGTGTGAAAGGTCCAGTAGTTTCCAGCCAACCCAGGGCGGGCGCGCTTCCTTCCTGTGGGTCCAGGGCCTGCGGTGCTCCTCTGTCTCCTGCTCAGAGGGCGGCTGGAGCATTTCTGCAGCACAGCAGGAAACCAACCTTCCTTCCTTCCTTCCTTCCTTCCTTCCTTCCTTCCTTCCTTCCTTCCTTCCTTCCTTCCTTGTCTTTACTCATGTTCATTAATGAAGACACCTTCTCGAGGTCCACAATCTGACAAGGCTTTTCTCTGACCCGAGTCCTGCCGTCTGGCTGCGGCCATCTGTCCTGAAGACCGGTCCAACTCTAGGTGCAACCCAGTGTGTCTGCTGTTTCCTTGAAGGCTTGCTCTGCCCTTCATTTCTGGCAGTCTGAATGTGATGTGTGTCAATGTGGGGTTTTAAATTTTGTGTTTTGCTCCTCGCATTCATCTTTCTTGAGATGGTGATTGTAAGTTTTGTTGTTTTTGGAAATYGTTGGCTGCCAGGTTTCGGGTGTCTGTCTGTCCTCTCTTCCCTCCTGGGATCCAGTCGTCTGAGTTGGACACTTGGTGCTTCCCCACAGCTCTTGGGTCAGTATTTCTGCTTCTTACCTCCCCATGGTTTCTCTTTGAGCCAGTTTGGTGATTCGTGCACCCCCCCTCAGGTGTGCCAACTCCTTCCTGGACCGCTGGGTGGCAAGGGCTGGCGGACCCAGCACCRCTCCGTTGCTGGTCCACGGTTTCTCTTGTTTTTCTGCTCTTCCAGCTTTCGTCTCTGCCGTCCCATCGCTGTGCGCTGTTTGTGAGCACCGCGAGGCAGACAACAGGGTGCGGGTCACAGCAGCCCGTGAGTCTGGTTCTGCACAGCCGAGGGTGGGCAGTTCTCAGTGGTCACTTGGCACAGTGCCCAGAGGCCAGCCTCTGAGAGTGGGTCAGCCACGGAGGTTCCCATGACGAGGTTCAGAGCTGGAAGGCAGCGAAAGGCCCAGGCTTCGCCATCCCTGCAACCTGGTGCCGGGGACAGAGCAGTGTGTGCACCACCCGAGGCCCCTCAAGCCAGAGGCGACCAGACAAGATGTAAGCTGGTCTCTCAGGGCAGCAAGGCCCTCCTGACCTCCAGCTGGCCTCTCCTCTGCCTCTGATCTGTGGCAGGTGCTGGGAGTCACCTGGGCCATGAGAGGGGAACAAGGCCTCTGTTACCATGTGGACGGCCTGGGCAGACTGTGTGGATCGGGTCCTGCAGGGAAGGCCTCTGGCGTAGAAGCAGGGACAGCAATCAAGGTCTTGTGGGGCCCAGTTATTTCTAACTATATTTAAAATTCGAGTTGAGAATTACCAATGTTGCTTAAACAGTGTTTGACTATAAAATAAATTCTAGAATAAAGACGGCTTATGTAGTTTATAGGAGAGTGTAAGAGTCATCTGGTGATTGCTACACCTGGCCTTGCTGTGGTTGTGAGCACTCTCGTTTGCACTAATGGCTCCTCAGAGGCCCTGTGCAGAGGCCCATGGGGACAGTGTGCCCGGGATCTGTCCTCCAAGACATGGGGGTGCTCCTGTGGGAGTACCTGGGCTGCAGGGTGTCTGCAGAAGAGGTTCAGAGACCCACCTCCTGGAAACTCTTATTTTTCATTCTGCAAACTAACGTTCATGGGTTATTGGATTTACTGGAGCCGATCATGGCTATGAGCACCAGGCCTGGAGTCGGGAGGAGGGGACATGCAGGGACACCTTGGTCTGGAACCTCCCTGCCTCACTTGGAGGGTTCTGTAAGCAACACTGCGAAGCCCTGACAAGGGGCCGTGCCTGTGGCTTTCCAGTCACGTGGGAGAGGGGCAGCTGTGGAGGGGAGCCTGGTGACACCACCAGTCCTGAGTGCCTGCCTGTGAGCCGGGAGGTAGGCTGGGTGCCCTCCGGGGAGTGACCGTGTCTTTCACACTCCGTGTGCATGGRGGATCGCCCGAAGAGCTGAATTTGTCAACAGTGCATCTTTGGGCAGAGGCACAAAGCACATGGCACTACGTGTTTAAAGTTAGGTCACCTCCTCTCTCCCACGAGCAGTGCCACCCGGAAGTGCACCCTGAAGTTGCAGTGAGCACAGGCCTTCCTTCTGGGACCCGTCACAGCTCCACACACCACCTCAGACACACCATCCCTCCCCAGGGGGATCAGCTGAAGGATCCGGAAGACACCATGCATCTACCAGCTTTAAAGATCAGACACAGAAGTCGCCCGAGCACATTCCCCTGGTAACTGCATAACAAGCGACCACAGACCGGTCACTTCTAAACAGAGGACTGGGGCACCAAGGCTTGGCTGGAACATTTTCAACTCWAGCTGAAGCTGACGACGCTAGCCCACACCTAGGGAGCTGTGGAGAGGAGCTCAGACACGGCGCGTGTCCGGAGGAGGCACAGCCTTTCTTACGTTTGGTGGTCTCCCAGCGGTCTCTGTCCGAGGGACTTCAGCAGGGGCTCTGGTCGCAGGGCCACTGTCGGGGACGTTTTGGGGCTGGAGTCCGACTCTCCGCTGTCCTCGTCTCCCATGGCTTTGATGTAGCTGCCGCTCCTCATCCTGCGGCAGGGGATCTCCTCCGCCTTGCCGCTGGTGGGGTAGCCTCCCCACTCGTCCTGAGGCACCTAGGAGGAAGCAGAGACAGACGCGCACGTCAGGCGTGGCGTGTGCAGCCGGGCGCGGGGGCAGCACCTTCGCTGCCGCAGCTCTTGAAGACAGGGCGGCGGGCGGCCAGTTACCACGGCGGGTAGATGCACAGAGACAGAAGCTGCTCTGCACCGTCGCCCAGCCCCGGGAGGATATTAATAGGAAAGGACTGGTTTTCCTCCCATTATAAAACAGAGATAAACACGACGGGGAAAGCGAGAAAATGTTAGGAAAGCAGACGCCACAAAAAAACCACGGCTAACATTCAGATATATTTCCTTCTGGTGCAAAAGGAAATCGAAACTTGAGAAAACTGAAAATAGAAGAAGTGAAAGAGTGAAAGGAGGAGGAGAAAATCCTGTATTGTTGTCAATTTCCCCTGAGATGCAGCTACAGGAGGGGAGGCTCAGCTAGGAGTCAAGTGACATCATCTATGCAAAATCCTCGCACCCACAGCACCCACCCACTCACCTCCTCCAGCAGGGGCTGCGGGGGCCGCACCATGGGCACAGCGGGCCCTTGGAGAAGCCCCAGCCAGGCCTCCCACTGTTCCCTGGCTTGAGAGCAGGCCAGGGAGCCGCATCCACCCTCCACACCGCGGACTTGGAAGAGGGTCTCCACGTAGACGGAAGGTCCTGGGTGAGCGGGTACTTCCAGCGTGACAGCCGGGTCCCAGCAGCTCAGGCCTGGCTCTGTCCAGGGCTCAGGGGTTTGATGAGGACTCTGCGGCCAGGTCCATGCTGACAGCCAAGACACAGATGCTGCAGCAGCTCTACCTCCAGGGCCTGCCCAGTGCGTCCTCCGCTGGGGGAGAGCCGTGGAGGGGAGAGCAAGGAGGCCCCAGCCTGGACTTCAGAGCTGGTGGTTCTCCCTGTGAACGTGCGGATTCTGAGGTCCTGACCAGGGTCCTGGGCCTCGCAGCCCACTGCAGCCCAGGTGCGCTGGTCTGGCGCCCCCAGGAGGCGCAGTGGGGTGGCGGCCGAGGCAGTCCTCTGGGCTGGAGGTGCCTGGTGTTTGTCCCCTAGATAACATGCTGTGTGCTGCCAGCAGATGGTGTCCCCCGGGGCATAGCTGGGAGAGGAGCCCAGGGACAGAGGGAAGAGGGCCCCTTGCCTTCGGATGCCTTCTGCACCTGCAGCCCCGCTAGGCGGGGACTCTGCTTGCCACTTGCTGTGGAAGGGCACAGCACAATCCCCTCTGAAGAGTGGCACAGGTGGGTGGTTCCCATCTGTGGCTTTCGTTTCTCCAAACAGCATTCCCGAGTGGGCCCAGGAACACTGGGGCTCACAGCGACTCTGGAACAGCGTGTGGCATTGGCTGACCCCGACACGGCACTGAGGAGGGGGCTCGGCAGAGTGGACACATGCAAACTCCTGCTCTGCCCGACTGGCACAGGGCAAGCCACCATGGGCCTGCTGGCTCAGTCCCCACCGAGCTAGCTGGTTCCAAACTCTTCCTGACCTGGGCTTCCACAGAGGGGTGACGGGAACACAGACCACSCTGGAAGGGCATGGGGAAATGAGTGACCTGGCCTCAAAACAAACGGTGAGCAGGTCCCACTGCAGAGCCGCTGATGTCACAGGCAGAGTAACACCACAGCCTGTGACACCCAGGACATCTATCCACAAGAAGTCAGCAATGGAGAAAAGGTGTGTCCATGTGCCCTGCAGAGCCCTGGTCTCCCGAGATGCTGCCTCTCGACAGCGGCGTGCCTTGCACTGGAAGAAGGATGAGTGGTGAGTGACCATCCACCGGTCATGTCACTCCTGGGCATGGACGCTTACCAAAGTCAGCCTTCAGTCGTCACAGACGCAGAGCCAGGGGAGATGGAGGCACGGGAACAGCCAGTCCATACCTTCTCATGCCAGGGAGGGGACAGGGCAGTGCGAATCTGTGGCATTTATCAGAGGATGCGACTGCTCACGGGGCACCCCGGGACAGGGAGGCTCAGTGCCAGGCAGCACCAGTCAGTCACTAGTTAGGATCAAGGAGAAACAGTGGCAACACCGCATTCTAGGGGATGGCCAGCGATACTTATCAGAACCATTCAACGGAGACTGTTCGATGTCCAGATGATGTCACAGAAGAGTATCTGCTATGGAAAGGTGCTTGTGGTGAGGTGTCTTGGTCCATTGTCTGTGGCTATAACCAAGTGGCAGAGGCTACAGAGGCGAGGTAGTTTATAAAGAATAGAAGGGCCCTGGGTTCTTGGTGCTAGAGGCTGGCAGGAGCGTGACGCCAGCGTCTGCTGACAGGGGGCGGGAGGGAGGGCTTCGCATGACCTCATGAGTCCTGACCAGCCCAGGGCCACCTCCAGATGCCACCATGTGGCTGGGGACACATTTGGACCCGGGAAGGGGGGCTAGGTGTGTAGAGTTCTCAAAGCGGACGGCCTGCGTGTGCTGGGCAGATGGGGAGGGGGCAGGCAGGAGTGTCTCTGGGGAAGGGGCTGGCGGGTCTCAGTTACTTTTCTTTCTACTTATATTTTCTAGATTTTTAAATGAGTCATATATTACTTTTGTGATTAAAAAAAAAAAGAACCACCCTTATTCTCAATTTAAGAAAAGTCATGGTCCTCAGAGACGTCACATCTCGGTGGAGGAGGTGCTCATAAAACCAGGGCGTCAGGTGTGCCCAGGGCCCCAGGGCCCGTGGGGGCACCAGGTCAAGGGGCCTCTGTCGGGGGTGGCAGGGAGGCCATGCCCTGCAGACCCCACGCGAATGTCCCAGGAGGCCGTGGCAGGAAGGGGACAGGTGGGAGACAGCAAGGAAGAGGTTCACTCGCAGGTTCGTGGGGTTCCTTATGAATCAAGACTGTTCCATAAGCTTCCTTAGAAAACTTGTGAATGGAACCCCCATTTGACCCRGCTGTCCCACTCCTCGGTCCACACCCACAGGAGTTAAAATCACCTACYACAGGGACACAGCCACATCAGTGTTCATAGCAGCACGATTCACCATAGCTAAACTGTGGAGCCGACCTAGGTGCCCTTCAACAAATGAGTGGATAAAGAAAATGTGGCATTTATACACAATGGAATATTACTCAGCATTAAAAGAGGACAGAATTATGGCTGGAAGGAATTAGAGAATATCATGCTAAGTGAAGTTAGCCAATCCCCCCAAACCAAGGCCAAATATTTTCTCTGATAAGTGGAGGCTGACCTACAATTTGGGGGGTGGGGGTGTGGGAAGAATGGAGGAACTCTGCATTGGGCAAAGGGGAGGGTCAGGAGGAGAGGGGGTCTGGGGGCAGGAAAGATGGTGGAATGAGATGGACATCATGGCCCTAGGGACATGTATGACTGCACAAATGGAGGGATGCTACATCGGTACGACCAGAGAATTGAAACATTGTGCTCTATTTGTGTATGATGAATTGAAATGCATCCTGCTGTCATGTATCACTAAGTAGAACAAATAAAAAAAGGTTTCCATAAAAAACAAGGTAACRATTCTCCACCAGCCTGCAAATTAACTCACAAAATGAGGCCAGCTTGTGTGTGTCTGTGTCTGATTTAAGACACCGACTTCACAGCCTTTGACAGAAAAACTTCRATACAGAAAAGTAACCAGAGTCAGTTTCTGGGTACAAATTCCAGAACCAAATACCAACCCGAGGCACCMGTCTCACCAGGTGAGAGCCTGCAGCCAGATGCAGGCAGCTCCAGGGCTCTCCCAGCTCCCGTGAGCAAGGGACACTTCCTCCCCAGGCCCCTTCCAGCTCTGCAGGCCCAGCTGCAGAACTGGGTTCCACTCCCAAGGCACCCGAAGGGGGCATCTCTGAGGATCGACATCATGCACGTTGAGGGGTGTTGGTGCTTCTTCCTTTCAAGAGGCAAGGCCCAGGCCTAGGGGCCAGATCTACGGTGGCGTTCTGTTGCAGGAGTGAGACCGAGGAAGCTGCGTCCCCCTCCGGAGATGTCCTCGGTCCTCGACAGTTCATGTGTGTGTGTGTGTATGCACACGTGTGCGTGTCACATGCATTTCAAGGACACTAGCCACTGGGGACCTGACTGAGAGCCACGCAGCTGGGCTCCCACACTCCAGATTTTCACAGCAAAYGGCAACAGCCTGAGTGGCGCCCTCCGGAGCAGGCGTCCACTCCAGGGTCCCTYGGGGTGGCTTGGTCCCCACAGGACTTGGGGAGATTTCCGGTCTGCAGGCGTGCAGCCGGGCTGGTTTTCGGGAAGCCTGAAGTGTTTAGTGAGGGCGATCAGACGCACGTCCAGAGAGCTTCGGGTGAGTTTCCCATCTGCCGTTCCCTGAGCCTCGAGCCTGTTTTGTGGGAAAACTCAGGCTCTTTGTTTTGTGTTTTGCAGCCTAAATAAAAAATGATTTTTTTCCCAGGAACATAACCACCATGTAAATCAAGAGAAGAGAGAGCATGGCTTCGCTGGCGCTTTACCAGGAACCGTTCACTCTTTCCACCAAYCCCACAGGCTTGGCAGGGCCCTCAYGATRCCCTCAGGTCTGATCTGCAGCTCTGCGGCTACTGAGGTTCCTCGCCCAGCAGCAGGTGCCCGAACCCTGCATCTGTGCAGACCACGTGGCACTCTGACATTTTTATATGAAGATGGGTTTAGTTAGGAGTTACTTTCTGACCTGGGGATGTCCTTCCACGGCAGAGCACCTGCCTAATATGCTTAAGGCCCCAGCATCAAAAATTAAATTACATTAAATTAAAAAGTTCCACTCCTCTATTTTTACATCACGTTGGAGCTCAGACCATATTCGTGCTTTTCCTAAACAGTGCGTGTGCAGGTTGGCTCCACGTGGCTGCAGTTCAGGACGGTCGGGGACGGGTGCCTGTTTGCTGTGAAGGCACATCAGGCTGACAAGCGAGAGAGCCATTGTCAGTAGGGAAGCTGCGTGACCAGGACACGAGCCCTCACAGAGGCAGAGCCTGGGGACTGCAGCCAGGGACTCCGCTGGGCTGGAGGACCCCATTGCTGGCCGTGGGCAGGTCTCCCAGCTA